TGGACCCAGAAGTATGCAGAATAATGGTATGTTTTGCCAGTTTAAAGATCTTGGGAAATTGCTTTGCTTACTTTATATCTGAATTTAGGCTTCCGCAGATTTCGGACTTCAGCTTTTGGTTTTGGGGGCGGAGGGTAGCGCCCCTGAGGAAGCCAAGAACCTGGAACCGCAAGAGCGAGACAAAGTACTTTCTTCGTGAAGCCGGTAGTTGTTCAAAATACCTGTCCCAAAAATGACCATAATGCAGCTTCCCTGTTCGGTTGGGATCCCGCTTTAAGGCAGTGTGTTCCCAATGGACACTTCTTTGCAGGGAGCTTTTGCACAACTTTCAGCTGCAGTATTGTGGTTCCATTACTACTGTGAGCGCTCTACTCTTGTTTCCTATATAGCCATTATTGCTAATATGTGTTGCGCCTCTGCACCACTTTATTTTCTTAAGGAGCACTGGGCAGATGGGGCTAAGCGAAGTGCGATACTATGAAGGTATGATGATGTAGATATTTCTCATCTTCTTCGTCCTGAGAACGCACATCTGCACGCTTGCCACAAACTAGATTTGAGAAAGGATCTTCGCATGGAAAGACTATGCAATGTGCACAGCACCCGTGAAGGGATCACAGACCCCCGATACAGGCTCACAAATTTTGACGCATCCCCGCAAGTCAAAATCGAACACGCAGCGATCGCAGCTTGTAGCCTGCTTGTTTACGAGCATCTCTGCATAATACAGGCTATAACCGCCCCCACAATGACAAACCATTTATGCAAATTAGTGTCTGTACATGCTACGAAGTGCTAAGATCGGTACTCTCAGGTATCAACAAATGGGTGCATCGCGCTGAGCACCCTATCATCCCCGCATGCACCGAAGAAATGCGAATTCTCCGAACTCACCTTGAAATACCAATGATCAATTGTCATCCGTGCCTAGTCCTTCCACAGAACTCTGAATATCTGCTCAACAACCCTATGTCCTCCAAGAATCCTTTCAAACACTCGAGAGAGCTTGGGGTCCCGAGAAATCAAGCTCTCGGCGGCAGTGAGCTCAGCATTCGACCAGCTCCCACATTCTTTAAAAGAGTCCTCTGCTCTTTTGTGGGAGAATTGCGGGACGCTTCAGGGTTTGGTGGTTTTGCTGCTTCTGGACTGTTGACGATTACTGTCTGCATGTGTTGTGTAGAGTTTAGCAGTTCTATCTCGGCTCGCGCTTCAGGAAAATCATAGGACTGGAACAGGAATTTTCAAACAGGCCAGGCCCAGAAACACTTTTGGTGCACATCATGCAAGCTCATGTCTCTTCCTTGTCAATGGCAAGGGATGCTACCAGGTACTCACGGTTTGATGGGTTTTTCATCTACTTCGCAGAGTGAATGGACATGAACAGCGGTAGAAGGCCCAGCAGCACTGGCGAAGAAATCAATCACACGCGCCTGGCACTTCAGCAGGTTCAGATTTTTGCAGAGCTGCACTTGCTTGGAGGCGCTGAACAGGCTGAAAGGTGTTTGTCCGAACCTAAGCCCAAGAGCCCTTCAAGGCTGATTACACAGCCAATGCTACACTGCCACATAAATGAGTTTGCTTATCCTGTCTCCTGCCGCTAGAAAACTTAATGCATTCAAGGTATTGCTTTTCATGTCAGGGCTTACTATTGCAACGATTGTCATGCACAGGATGACCTCTGCCCCAAGTGTCCAAGTACCAAGTAATCATACTTGCACCAAATCTATGCTACAATCTCTCTTACCCGTATGATATCCCAAGTAGCCAATTGTTGGATACTTGGACCTTCAGGGCTACGTTGTGTGTATAGATGTATATTGCATATGTATGTAGAGTGTGTGTGTATATATATATATAGATATATGCCCCCGTATGAAGCTTGTTGGCATTTAATGTCATTACCGCATTTTACAAAACATCAGCGCGAAACTGTGTTGGGGGTCCTTAGTGGAACCAAGTAGTACAGGAGGAGCAGATGGCACATGGGTGTGCAACATACTCTCTCCTCGAACCCTGATATTCGACTAGTCGTGAACCCTCGAAAGCGCTTAGTAGATCACCTACATGTGTTTTCTGTAAATCATGCCTGAAGCTTAATTCCGTTTTCCCCTGTTCATTAAGTAGGTGCTAGGTCATATGGCCGGAGGAAACGGAACTACAATATCCTTTAGGAAGGCATCTGCTATGAAGGGTGCTTACGAGTCCGACCGTGGACCGGGCACAAGGGTTAGGATCCTGATTTTCAAGGGCAGCCTAGTCCTGAAAAATACCCCTGAGGGTAGAGCCACTGCAAACGGGTTTTTAAGATCACTACTATTACTGTTACTCTTACTATTATTGCCACAATTATGATTATCATTATGATTTCTATGTGGGGGGATCCTCCGCGCGCCTTGCTTTCCATTGTGGGGATCCCGGTGCGCTCTGTCACCCCATCTGGAAAGATTGTGGTCCAGTTCCTGAGTATCCCAACAATCACCCAACGTGAGTCCCCAGCTGGCATTCCCTAAACCGCTCTTGGGCGTCGGGTCTAACTAAGGCTTTGCAGGGCCAGTACTCCAGCAGACCACTCAATGGTCAAGAACAGATACAAGAGTGATTAGCATTGGAGAGTTTAGGGCTTTGGATGCCAAATGCCCAGTATGTCTAAGCACTCCTTACATAAAGCATCCTGACCGCAGCTAAGCTTCAGCGCGTCTGACATGATTGCAGACAGCCGGGTATTACGCAGTCTCTGCAAGCAGGGTCGCCAGTCCTCATTCACGCCATTCAAGCCAAGATTTACGGCTGACTGCTTCCCATTTTCACTGTCCCAAATTCAAACTTTAGCTCATTGAAGCCCCGGAAGCATCCGAGTCTTAAATTCAGGTTAGCTTTGTGCACTCTGACCCTGCAACCAAAAGCGAATGCTTTGGAAAACATATCAAAAATGGTGCCAAAGCAGGGTTTAGAGTCCCCGCCCTTGTCGCTGTCAAGCAGGAGAGTCGCCAACACATCGGCATCCATGGCTGCTCCTGCACTGGGCACAGAGGTTGTATTCGAAAAGCAACTTCTACACAATCCCTTACATGGCAGTGGGGGCTTGTAGGAAGGTTCCTACGAGCGCATCAAAACAACAGGGCAAGACGAGCACGAGCGCTTAGACTTAGGAGCCAACGGCCTGCACATGCATGTCTGCCAAACAGACACCAAGCACCTAGGATAAGGGAACCGTGACAAAAATCCTGCATGGAGAACCCGCACCTTTGTTGTTCTGTCGGTCTCACAGCCGCATGTTCCCCTTCCGACGCCCTGTCAAACCTGGAATATGGTTGGCTTCTCAACTTCTGATCTGCGCAAAGGATCCCGACAGAAGAACACCCATGCATGAGACAAACTCCCATGTGCCATCATCCCTTTTTGGTCTCCTAGCTCTTTGACATTGCTCTTCACGCCATCTGGAACATTCTCGGGGAGAATCGCAGCACCAGAAACTGCAGAAAGCTGATAAATTGCCTTGGTCGTGCCATGCAGGGACATGCAAGGGCCTAGAGGATTGGCATTAGAATAAGGGATAGCGCGTGCTTCAATTAGGCAGGGGGATCTATTGTAGATGCATCTGTGCGAATGTAGAAAGTGGGTTGCCATTCTTTGCCTGAAGCTGTGAGGGCCCAACAAGAAGCGGTGCTCATAAGAGGCGACGCTTCAAACGGCAACAGAATCCAAGCACCATACTGTACGCCCTGTCAGCTAACACCCTTTGCGCCTGATCCCGAAGTCCCTCACAGGTCCTCACTCCGACGGCAAGCCGTGATGACTCCTCTGTAGCCACAAACATTCATTCTTCTGTCTGCTTAAGTCGAAAACGTAGAGATAAAAGCTTCGACTCACCCTCGACCTCCCAATGCTTTGCCTAGTCACCAGGAACCATCCCCTAAGCACCTCATCGAGGACTGTCGTGCCTGCATCTGGGATGTTCCTAAGCTCAGCTTCAGGGCAGGATTGAGGGGTCGAGGGTTCAGGGGTGTGGAGGTGAAGGCACAATGGCTTTTCTTCTCTCCCCGTAGCCTTTAGGCTTGACACTGGATCCCTAAGCCACTGGACCTCCATCCCTGATCTCTACATGCTGCAAGCCGAAACCTCTAAGACATGTAAGTACGTAGCACCTACATACCACCCTGCACACCCCAAGTAAGCTCGTATCTACGTAGCAGTAATTTGCGCCAGGGGTTTGTGCTACAAGCCCGCGTTTTACAAAGAAGCTCGTTCAGTTCTCTGTTGCGGTCTCTGAAGCTTGCGGTGGATTTTGCATGGGTTGCAGAATTTCAATTTGCGATTTTCTGCTCGGAGCTGCAATGGAGCGCTTGTGATGCCAGGACTCGTTGCTGCATTGCGTTGCTAGCCCGGGATCTTCGCCGATTACAGACAGTTTGCGTTACAAAGTACATCAAACTACGAACTCCCATATCGATAAGAATGGAGGGTCAGGGTCGAGCAAAAACTTGTGCTATGAACGAGGTCCCATGCAGCCGTAGATGCCGCTATGCATGCCTATATAGACCGATTGAACTTTAAACGACAACCCGAGCCCCATAACCCTCACCCTCAACCAACATATGTTAGTTGTCTCCAGGCGGTCCAGAAGGTCGAAGAATGATGCGCCCTCCTGCTGCTTTTGGCGCTGAAGGCTCTGTGGTTTGCATGTGGGGCTGTAGAGTTTTCATGACCAGCATACGCTCCCGGTGTAGCCGCTGTGCAGTCTTCAACAGGTGAGAAGGACGGGAGCACATGATAGCACGGCCTCCAGGCAAGCAGGGAACTTGCATGATCATGTTGAGCACTGCATCCACTTAGAAAGGCCTTAGACCTCAATACCTAGATACCAGCCCTGCATCCGACACTCCAATCCCTCAGCCAACGCCTCCACCACAAAGCTTAGATGGCAATCCGAACCCTGAGTCTTTGTACCGTAAGCTTTTTTTAGGATGGACATGTAACCTCAGAGGGGGTTCTACGAAGGTTACAGTCGTTTAAGACCGTCTCTTGTAAGCTTCCGTGTTACACAATACTCTATTCCCTTATCGCTACTTTCAATACGCAGCTGACCATAAGGGGCTTGTGGGGGGAGGGGAAGCTCCTGACCAAAGAGAAACTGCGCAGGGCGCCGCTCTGTCTCTGAGTAGTCGGACAATGAAATTGTGGATCCAACCACCTGCAATCCAGGTGTCTTTAAGATATAGGTGGCTTGCCTCCCCTTCTTGTTCTGCCTCAGTTATCTGTTCGTTTCTGCCCTTTTTTTTTTGCTTGCTTTGCGCTCTGTTCTTGCTGCTCTCTTGTGACTAACTAATGTGGTGGAGGGCTTCAGGAAGGCTGCCCCCTTGCTTCGCTTCTGAGTCCTTCAGACTACGCAACCACATCCCAAGCCACCAAGGCCGTGGACCCTCCAAAGCATCTCTGCATGAATCACAAATGTGAGCGCTTAACAATCATCTTTAAGGGACAGCCGCCTCCTCTGCCATTAATGACATATGAACACCTAGAAAACTCGAAGCAGAGTAAGCGTTGCCCGAGCTAAACAAGCTTTCATGAACCCCTTGGTCGCATGCAATAGCCAGTAGCCTACAAACACAAATAGTCCTTAGGGGCAAACACAACTTGACGGCATTTGCGCGCCACGCCAATCTGCCTCGGGTTCGAGGACCACACCTGCCACCCGAGCGTCGCCTGAAAGATTGCAGCATACCAAGGGGATCACAGGCAACTTGGGAAGATTGTGGTCAAGGTGTATGCTATCACAACCGGCAGATTTCAAGGAATATAGCGATCCTCGAGTAGATAGAGCTTGGAAATTTGGACGCCTGTAACCTCTTTCCCGCATACGAGGGTTCCCTCGCCGAATGACTAGAGAAGCACAAAGAGGGTAGTTCTACGTTTTCAAAATCGCCCCTATTCGGATGTAAGCGTACCAGGCCGTGCTGCCTTCAGGCAGCGAGGACGGCAGTTCCGCTGCTGCAGATGGCGCTGTGGCCGGTGTCTGGGTCTGGGCGGCTGCTAAAGCGGCCTGGGTGAAACTTGAGGGTTGAGAGTTTAGGGCTCAAGGGCGGGTTAAAGGCTAAAGCTTCACTCCTCTGGCTTGGGCTTTAAAGGCCATGCGCGAGTCGGCGTGTTTAGACCAAAGTGTTTCCTAAGGCCTACAATGCGCATAAAGCCCTCTGTGGCCTCCAACAACCTGCCCTGAAATCCCTTCTTCGATTCTTGCATGTTGATCTCTTTGCCTGACCTCCTGCAAAGCCCTGTACTAAGACTTCCAGGCTCCCTTTGTAGCCCGCGTAACACCTTCTACAGTCTCTAAGATAACTGCCATGGAGCTCTCTTGCTTTGTAGAACGCCTTAAGCCCATTAGATGTGAAGCCGCTGATCCTTAAGCGCTTATTGTCGGAAACCTGCAGCCCCTAACTCAAGCCTCATACAACACCACCCCCGCATCCCTCATCCCTACACCTCGAACCCTTAAACCCTTAAAGCCTGAACCCTTAACGTCAAAACGTAAAACCCTAAAACATCTAAAGCCCCAAAACTCTGAAACCCTGCACCCTAGATATACAGCCTACACCATGAAGGTCCCCCCCTCCCCAAAGCCAGGAGCCCTGGTGCCTTGGCTTCTGCCGCCGCCGCGCGAGCTTGAGCAAGCTCGAGCTCGGCCTCCAGGTTGGGCTCTACATAGATATCCCTAGGGATCCAAATAGCCCAATGTAGGTAACATTTACAGACTTTGGGGTCCAATGTAGGGATTATTTACATACATGGATCCCTAGGGTATGGCATATACTCGTACACCCCATAACCCCCACACCCCCAAACCCTAAACCTAACGAAGTTCTCTCTTCTCTCTCGCTCTCTCCTGCAGGTTGGGCCTTCAGCTTTTCGATCTCTGCTTCTGAAGCTGGCTCTGAGTCGCCAGAAGCTCGTAGCCGAACAGCTGTGCTCTCAGGCAGAACCTTGGGTGCTACAAAGGAGGAGATCTAGGTATACAGCTGTGCAAAGGGAGGAAACAGAGATCATGTGGAGCGGGGGCTACTTGGGAATTCTGGAGATGTTCTCTGGGACCGTAGAAGGGATCGATTAAGTCGTCAAAGCGCTTAACGGCAGAGGCATTTCTTGCAGTCCCACAACAAGGATCCAACATGCTAGAGGCATGTGAGGGGGTTGGGCTCGCTTCTCAATCCGTGGTCCAAAAAAACAGCTCGCCGCAGATGAAGGGTAGCAGTATGTCATCTCTCCGAAAAGGCCAACAGTTTCGGTGTCACCCATGCAAGCCGATTTCGACCTATTCCTGATGGCATGAGAGCAGCCTAGCCGGATTTGGACTTAGCAACTCGAAAAGATCAAGCCGTTCACCCGGCCCTTCAAGGTTACCACCGTGTTATTGTGGTGCCTGCATGGCGGAAAAGACTAAGTCCATCCTGTTGAAGCATGTGAAACAGTGAGATGTGTCAAAGCAAAATCCTACATTCCCTGTGCAAAGGCTCTCACGCACCCCTCATAGCGCTTTGTGTATCTCTGTTGAATTCATTTTAGGGGTAACCAATTTCAGACGCTCAACATTCTGGGTGCCAGTGAATAATTTCGGCATGCTGCATGTCACACCGGCCAGCCTGAAACATCTTTGCCAGGGAGCGCCAGCGCGGGGCACAAACAGTAGAGGCGGAAGTAGGTACACAGACAGCCAACCTTTCCCATGCATGACTACGCTTTCAGGTGTAGGTGGGTTGTGGCGGTCTTTCGGCTGTGACGTATCTTAGGTCGATCTTCCCGTTCCTCATAACTCCAATCTGTAGTATCCAGCCGGCACAGGCTTGCACCTTCGTACTTTAGATGCAGGTCATGCAGGCCTGGGTGGTGTGGGTCGGGCCAGGGTCGACTGTAAGCCGCCATTGCTTGGGCGAAAGTAGACCCTGATCCCTCAAGACTTCAACCCTGCAGAAGCTCACAATGCTTGGGAAAGGTTGGTGCTCACAAAAGCAAGCAAGTTTGACACGCGCAGCTGGGAACAGCAATTGGCTTTCCAACAGTTCTAGACTTTCATGTAGGTTCGGGAAATGTACTTTAATTACAAGCGCCCCCTGAGGTTCCCAAACCCAGAAAGAAGTTGAAATTCCCAACGCTAGAACTTCCACCAGCAAAACACAAGTTTGAGAACGCATTCACTCCCTGTCCGAACTTACCTCACAAAAGACACACAAGTTTGTGAGTGATTCAAGCAACAGAGGCATGTACTTGGTAGTTTCCCAAAATAGGGGACCTCAATATACGATAATCCTTATTATTGGGACCCACCCAAGATGGTATCCCTAATTCTGGGAAGCCCCGCACTTGGGCCTGATCCGGTTTCTGTGGTTGAACGGGAAGCGTGCCCATAGATCCGCCCCTACATTCTGAGACCCCTTCCTCCGACGGGTTAATATTGGAATAATGAAATAAAACAGAAACTACTATAATGTGGGGTTAATATTGGGGCTAATCCTAATTCTTAAACCTGCAAGCGCTAAACCCTAAGCCACCAAAACTTTCTGGGAATTAGTAAGGAATATGGGAATACATTATCTTATGATCACTATATTCCCTTATTCCCTACTTAGGACCACTAGGCAAACATCTTGAAGGAAGTCAAGCGGCAGGCTAACACTCCCAACGTCCTCCGACCGGGAGGCCCTTGTGGCATCCTCTGCCTTGGCTGGGACACAGATTCCCGATTTATAGGGATCAGGGTTTCCCAAAAATCGGGGTACGTTTTACCCCTGTAATGGAGAATCAAATGGAAAAGAACATGGAAAATGGGATTATATAGGGGTTTATAGGGATTAGGGCCATGATTAAGGTCTCCCAAAATTAGGGGTTCCTCTTTTGGGGGTCCCCATAATAAGGACTATAATACCCTGGGGTCTATATTGCGGTCCCCTATTTATGTCAACTACCGTTTCGAAGACATCAAGGATAGACCTGTTGCTGGATAAGAAGGTTCCTCTTGAAATTCCATGCGTAGATCGAGGTCTAGCGTTCAGGAGATCTAAAAGTCCGGCCATTCTTTGCGCGTTCGGTCCCCAGATCAAAGCCCCCGAAATTCAGCAGTCGCTGCAAGGAGCCCTCAATTGTACGGACCTTCGAAAAGCACCTCGCAAGTCGGGAGCAAAAGTTTAACCACCACCGTTCCGAAACCACACGGGTTTGCCAAGGGTGGGGCTGCATGGATCCGCAGATGCTGAAACCTCCCATGTTGGCCTGCAACCTTCTCATGTTCAGGGATGCGCATCCATGAGCGTTGCCATCCTGCCAGTCCAACCTGAAAGGGCCACGACTTCCACCTTGGCAAAGTACTTTACAATTCAAGGCGAGACAAAACTGCGCATGCTTGGGATTCTAAGGAGACCCCGCTGGTCACTCCTACGCCCTGAAGACCGGGTACGGCTTGAAGGTTCACAGGCATCTGTTGGTTTATGTGCTCGAAGCAAGGCAACACGCTGTGGATATCCTAGTCACAACCCCACATCCAAGTACCCTTGAGCCTCCGAGCCTCCGATCCTCAAAGCTTCAACTCTCTGTACTGGTACATATGCGGGGAACAAGTATATGGGAGTTGCTGGGAATCATACTGGGGTGCTGAGTGTGGTTGTAGGGGTAAAAGTGGGCATTATCCACGGATCATTACAGGGATCCACTCTCTGTTCCCCTTAAGCACTAATTCGCTTCCCTTCGCCGAGGTACCCTTGACTCGCCAAAGTCATGGCAGGGGTCTTGATTGCGGCGTTAGGAGATCCTTTATCAACTCCGTCTGACAACAAGGATTTCCGTTCTAGGAAGGGTAGTCATGTGTAAGTAGAAAGAGCGATGCTTGCGCCTTCGTCGTTTCTTCAACGCCTGCTGCTGCTGCCGGTAGCACTGCAAAGAAGTCATACTTGCACCATTTTGAAGGCATTCTGCCCCGTCACTCTTGCTCTTCTGCTCAGAGCTAACGCTGCGTCAGGTAATCAATGCTGTAACAGCAGTCAAGAGCACGTTCCATCACCACAACTTCCCACACCCCCTGACATTCGGACAACAGGGCTAGTTAGCTCATTCTGCAAAAGGAATCTCTCACACGGTCTGTGATTGAGGTCGCTTCTCCGATGTTGCGTGGCATCCAACATTCCAGAAGCCGCAGCAATGCTGACGAGATGTGACAAGTTATCTACAAGATCACCAAGGTCTGAGTGAGTATATGTCCAAGCCCTTCACCTCGATTGTCCTTTTGCCGCTTGCAGCCAAGCACTGCCATTTGGCAACTCTGAGGACTATGAATGCGGCTATGTCTCGAAATCCGAGGTGCCGAAGCCAGAAACCACCGCAGGGAACTCTGAAAAAGGAGCCCCCCAATGAACCCTGCCAAACAAGTGACTGAACTACAGGGTAATTTTGTGGGAAGTAACAAGCCGGAGCCCTTGACTCTGAGACATTTTCACGCAGCTGACTCTAAAAGCTAAACCACGTCCCTTGTATGGGACCTGCTCGTCAGACATGTTCACTTTTCAAGGCAAGGTTACATCATCCTTCTCATCCTAAGGATGCTGGAGACCCAAGGGATGGGGTTTGTCTCATTCTTTTATATATACATATATTCTTTGTTTTTAGGGGCTTATGGTTGTGGAGTTAAGGTCTCCCTGCCTGGATCATGACCTATCAGGGGGGGACCTTTGCTCCTCTTGCAGCACTTGCTGGCATGAGAACGAGAAGGCGTTGCCCCAGGAATAAGCACGACAATCTACCACCATGCCTAGCGCACAAGATAGCGACCTTGCACCCCTGGGCCTTTCAGTTGATGTAGAGGTGCACAGCGGCCCGCTACCCACAAAACATATGAAGCACATTAATTCAGAACCACGCTTTCCGGCTTTCAACCTATAAACTCATTCCATAGCTCATTATTCAACATCTGGGCTTTGAAGCCACAAGGCTGTAGGAACGTCCTCTAAGGAGGCCCAAGAACATGTGTGATGTGACAAAGCACACCTGATCTTTGGCTGTCACCTTCCACTTTGCACTAGTGCGTTGCAACCTCGGCTCAAAACCCAAGGCGTCCTACGAGACCTACCCTCCACATTCTTCAAACAGGGCCTCTCATCCGCATCACACTTGGATGTCCACCACCCTCCAGGGTTGAGGTTTGACTGCAGGAAGGTTTGCATACTGCATTTGTGATTTTTCGGATTGCGGGAGAGGGGACCAGGCAGACTGCGTGAATCTGTGCTTCTTCAACAGACCAGAGGGGAGGATCTTCAAACCTTTCAAAATCCAACTACCTGAGAGTAGCAAGCGCTTTGCCCAAATCTACGTTGCCACTCCTCTTAACTCTACATTTGCATGCCTGCACGCTCTGAGTGCGGCATAGAGCCTGGACCATCTGCCCTCAATCTTGAAACCCCAACTTAGACAGGTGAAGATCAAAGCGACCTCAATTCTTAGCAACCCAAGTAGTTTGGTGCGCATGCATGTATGTGGCTTTCACAAATTTCACAACCCAAAGTTTAGCCTTGCGACTTGCCCCGAACAGGTTGCAATTCAAACGAAAGCATGGAAAGTACTTGACGAGGTTTCTCCCTGCGTTTCTCAGGTGCCATCCCAGAACCCTGGACAGCACAACTCCCACGGAAAGCACATTGCAATTAGATGAAGAGATGCTACATGTTGTGTGGCGAACAAGAGCTGATACAACTTGAGGGTGCCTCAAGATTCTAGCTCCTGGTGAGGACTTCAAGCAAAGAGTGCCGCTTAACAAACATCGGCTCAGTGAAAGTCATTCCCCGCCCATTCCTATCCCTGTCTTGAGTCAACCCGAATACGCACAAATACCCCACAATCTCAAACCGCCGAGCCACAGGACTTAAATCCAAAATCCGAATCACTAAATCCGGAGCCTAGCCCCTCAACCAAATAGGGCAGCATTTGTTCCCTATTTTCTGCAGACCCTGGTATACCCGCAGCATGACATTAGAAACTTGCCTCGGCTTGGAAGGAGGTGGAGAAGGAGCTGGATGGTAGCGCGGGTACTCGCTGTTGCTTAAGAAGGACTTGACCATGACGAAGGCCGCCTGTCGATGAGTGTCTGGGTGTGCAGGGTTTTTAGGGCTTTGAGTTTCAGGAGACATACTATCCTGACCACGGTGATGTCGTCTAAAGCATGCACTAGCAAACCAGGCTGCAGCCTAGACCCTACGGGACCAAGTATGCCATTCTTGTTGGGTTGCACAAACAAGGTTGGACATTCAGGATCCAGGTACCCTGCACGCGAAATACACAGCCATAGCCTGTGAAAATCCTCATGTTATAGAGGCCACACCAAGCCCCTGAACCGCACATAACCCTTTAGAATCCGGAAATCACCAAACAAACCTCGGTTCCGACAAACCTCTGTTCCGAACCCCAACGAGGACTCATGAGATGCAAGGTGTATCAACAAAGGCATGTGCAAGAGAACCGATGAGGAAACATTTGATACTCTGCATGACCTTAGTATAGATGAAGACCATAATTCCAAACGGTATACTTGAGGCACTCAAGGCGCGCAGGTCGTTTAGCATCAGCTGTATTATCCGATGCACCTTGACTCGTCCTTCAGGTTCCAGAGACCCGCATACTCATATACTCGCTCATGATCCCTAAAGACCCTCTGTAACTCCCAAGAGAGAGCAAACACCTGAAAAGGGACGCAACTCTTGAACTCTGAACCTGGCGTACTCATGGAAACACTATATGACCCAATACAATCTGAGCAGTGACCTCAAAAAAAATCGCCAGATAACCTCAACATCTGAAGCGTGCAAGAGCCTCTGGCTTGTATTCTGGGACCATGTGCCCAGCCCCGCGGATGGTGAGGAAGTCGAAATTGTTCTGGTAGCGGGTGACCTTGCGCAGAGATCCCTTTTCGGGGTAGCTGTGGGAAATACTTAGGAGTATTCCAAGTCTATGGTTCTCTGCCAGCTAGGGGTCTAGGGCAAAGCACTTGGGGTTCTAGGTACACAGTTTCATGTCTACGCCATTCAGCATTGTGATCTTGCTCGTGTCTTCGCTTTCCCTACGCATCTTTGGCGTCTCAGGATACCCCGAACTCCATCTTAATTACTTAGAACATAAACCGTGCATGGGGTTCACGCAAGGGCTTTAACCAACTACTCTCTGAAGCCTGGACACATAGCCGCCCATTCGGATTTTGCCATCACGGGTCCAGGGGCGCCAGGACTCAATCTCTGGAATTCCGACGGAAGAAGTCCAGTTCTGAGCGTAGAAGCCTCGGCTTGCGTCTGAACTGACCTGATGACGGGGGCTGTTCCCCTGCTAGCGGTCATGAATGCAAGTACTAGACAAGTAGCAGCGTATCTCTTTGACGTGTTTGTGCCTGCCGGAACGATGCCAACTTGCAATCTGTCATAATGTAGTTCCGATGCACATCACCAGAACCCTGCCAAGAACTGGGTAGTTTCTATTCTAGTACTCAAGGCGCCCCTTTAAACAATATGCCTGCAGCTAGCAAGAACATGCTTTCGCAGAGAAGCTTCCAAAATCATGACCTCACTCCTCAACGCCTAGGTATGAATCGCATGCAGGCAGCTATTGAGACCTGGATCGGCGTCGCCGTTGTAGATCAAGATACGAATCTTCTTCGCTTGTTCCTGGGCTCAGCCAAGATGGGGCATGGGAGAGTCTTGGGGAATACAGCGTCAGCAAAGACTTGGATAGCCACATGCTCCACTCAAGTCTTGTCTAAGCCTGTCACACACTCCAGTCACCACTTGTTGTGAACAAAAACCTAGTGGAATCTCTGGAATCTCCAAGGCGAAGCACTGCACACCGCGTCCCGATGGCTTTATCTCCAGGAGTTGCTTGCAAGTTGTTCGGCTTCTAGGTTTGGGGGCCTCAGGATGCCATGCCAAACAGGAATCCCCAAAGTGCGAGGAAGTGGAACAACGATGATCTTTGGTTTCATATTTCGTTAGGGATGAAGCAATTGGCCAAGTGGAAATGGTGAGAGTTGTAACGAGCAGCTCAGGTGCTTAGAGAGGAACTGCGTGTCTAGCATCATCTTAGCCCCTTTCTACATCGAAATGCTCTCCATCCTAATCCTGACCTCTGAACAGCACAATCCTGAACCCTCAACCATAAGTTCGGATTCTTCAGCCAAAGCCCTCACCCTTTTGCCAGTCCGCCAGTAACCTCGAAACCGAAGCCCCGCAGGATCTGATTCGACAAGGTGCGCTTGAGTACCAAGGAACCAGGCTGGGCTGGGTGGAGTTGTAGGTGAATCCTCAAGGTCAGGGCATAGGGTTGGGGTTTCGGAGGTGTGGGTTTTCAGCTTCAGGAATCTAATCGGGGTTCAGGGTTTATGATTATGCTTGATAGTACGGAAGGTCTAGGCCTCTTTTCCTTCCGCACAGACTGGTCTTCGCCTAAAACCCCAGTCCTATGCCCTTTGGAAAGGGCGTCAACCCTCATGGTCGCGCAGGGCTATTTCCGAACGTGTCAGAGTCGCTCATCCCTTTCCGAGGGTGTCTAGATAGGAAGGGGCCCTGCTTTGAGAAATACGTACTTCAGCTCCTTACGTGTATGCCAGTGTATGCGTGGCTTGATGCCTGTTCAAGACCCCCCCGCGCCTACGCCGTTGTCTCCAGTGAAGAAGAGAGCATTTGGGGCCTCAGCGCTGACAGTCAAATTAACAACTACTCTAACAGACAGAAGTTGACAATTGAACCGCTATCAAGGCGAACCGCAGCAAGTAAGTAAGCGAACCGGCACACAGGCAGGCAAGCAAACTCAGCAACCGAACCGAGCCAAGAACCAAGCTAGTACTGATAAACAGGCGGACACATCAGAAACAACAAATCCTACAAAAAAACAGCTTCAGGCTCTTGAGCAGACGAGATGCCACATGAAGCGCCTTTTTGACCGCCTTGGCTGGCGCGGTGCTAGTGGTATACCAAGACACTCCATTCTCGGGATAACATGCTGCTAGCAGCTATTTAACAAGACATGGGATAGCCATCAGTGACACGCGCAAGCATGATTAATCTCCTGCCCCTAATATCAAAGTATATCAAAAGCCCCACCCCCCCTAATTCTAAATACTCCCCATTGCGGTATTGGTTATACTTTGGAAGTATTTCATATGGGGGAGGGGATTGATTGGACGATGATCCAAACCCGAAGCCAAAGAAGCGATTGCCGCCCCATCCGTTTGTGGTGTTACTTCATATGGGTTCTAGTTACTAGTACCCCTTCAGTTTGAGATTGAAAACTATAACCCTAAACCCTAAAACCCGAGACCCGAAACCCTACACCTCAAAGCCTAAACCCGAAAACTCGTTGGAAGCCGCCTCGGAGCCTCCTAAGATTCTGATCAGATGATGTCTCACCTGACTTTTGGCAAGTCGGTCCAACGACTTCCGCACTCTGACACCTCGGCCCTACTCCCTACACCCCCCATCAAGGAACATTCCTTCCACGATCTCAAACTTGATCTTCAACAATTTGCATGAAACCTCCCAAACGCTCTTCTACATGCGTATACATATCCACTAGCAGGTCCATGTCATTCAAGCTGCAGAGGTGTTGACCCACTTGAACATGGCATGTATTCCGCCACACGGTGCACCTGAGAATCTCTTGGCAGTAAGAACAAACTTGTAGTGAGCATGACGGCAATCGAGGCTCCTAGACATGCACGGGAGAATGACAGTGGAGATACCTAGCGCACTAGCGTGCAAGACTCCGGTGGTAATTCGATTGCACTCATGTATCCGATCTGGGTCATCAGCAGGAGTATTTACGTCCAGGGTGTTGAACATCCAGGTTAACACAAAATGAACGAGCCCAACATGCAGCAGCCAGAGCCAAAATCAATCTGGCATAATTGCCATCCTAAACTATGGGCCCTTAGCCCTCGACACTAGTCCGCTTGGTTTGTGGGTGTCTCAAAATGGAGATATTGCTCAACACCGCAGGGATAGCATGGGATAGCTAGAAACGAACAAAGGGGATTGCGGGGTTCCTTCAGGATGGCCTAGGACATGTGTTAAGCAGTTCCCCTGTGGCAAAAAGGATGGTCTCTGCTTATTGGTGCTGGTATTTCCGGTAGGGGGTCCAGTGGGCATCTTTTTTAGTGTCCAGTGGGCATCTCTTTCGAGTTTTGGATCCAGTGGACATCTTTTTTCAGCCTGAGGATGCC